GTATGCACATTTATAAATGAGGCAAGGCGCTCATTCAGAGAGGTTATATAACTTGAGTAATATTCCACTACTAATTCAAATCCTGATCTATCCAATTCTAAAGGCTGTGCTGTTAAGCTTTACATTGGGTGTGATAAAGTATAGCCAGGAACTCAAAATGCAGAATTGATGCTTCTAGTCAACCTGCTGGACTGCTCGGATGGCGCTGACATGAGCGATGCCTCTGCCCTTCCCAATCCAAACACATAACAGTGTTGGATACAATAGTACAAAAACTGTTTTAACTTGTAGCTGAGCTTGAAACCAGGAAAGGGAAATTCCAAACTGTCAAAACAAATTGGGGAATTGTGAGCAGGGCCTGAACCTGAGGACTTCCCTGGAGAGGGATTAGAATTAGGCCTTAACAGATGGAACTGGGACTTCAGTGCCAGACTCGTGCAGCAGTCTGGAAAAGAGTGCCCTGCAGGTAGGGAAAGTCAGAAATGAGTTATCTATATAAATGGGGACGCAGAATGGGCTTGTCCACAAACTAGGGACTAGAAATACACTGTCTGCTGGCTTGAGTAGATTCAGGGAAACATGACAAGTGCCCACATTAAAACTCACTTTAGGTTGTAATTCACCCCACCTGAAAGATACATGGAAATTGGCAGTTTAAATACTGGCCCAGAACCAGTGAAACCCAGGAAGCTCTGGCCGGGGCTTATGGAAAGCAATTGCAAAGGATCCTCCTCCACCCTCCCTAGTTCTTCTGAAGATGGTTATAGCACAAAATGTATCTGGACAAACTCTGGTAACACCTTTTGATTAGGAAGAGAAAATAATTGTAAGTATTCCATCAGAAAAAGCAAAGTTTCTACAAAGGAACTAACATTGAACTGTTCTTAGTTTTTCTCTGCAGAATTAAAGACCAGATTATGTTGGTCAAATATGTGTGGATATTTTTTTCTTTTGGTAATTTATTCTCAAGAATCAAAATTCAAAAGATATGAAAGGGTATCTTTCCATCTTGCTGTGCAATAGACGTCATACAATTGCTCTCCGGTCCTGGCAGGGTGATCTACAGTTCACTCTCCACACGCGACTGGTCTATTCTGTCATCATGCTCCTGTCATCAGTTGCTCTGTTGATAAAATCTGCTTCCCCTGAGTCAATTCGCACCTGCCCCATAATACACCTCTCCCAGAAAACAATGTTCTTAATTAACTCATGTGCCATCCTGCCTGTGTCCACCTCACCTCAGAAGGCATAGATGGAATTCACTTGTGGCACTTGAATCTGCCTTCATTATTATGCTCTCCTCCTTTTTTTCTTTTTTTTTTTTTGATGGAGTCTCACTCTGTCATTCAGGCTGGAGTGCAGTGACATAATCTCCACTCACCACAACCTCCGCCTCTCAGGTTCAAGCCATTATCCTGCCTCAGCCTCCCTAGTACCTGGGATTACAGGTGCCCACCACCATACCTGGCTAATTTTTGTATTTTTAGTAGAGATCGGGTTTTGCCATGTTGGCCAGGTTGGTTTTGAATTCCTGGCCTCAAGTGATCCACCCATCTTGGCCTCCCAAAGTGCCAGGATTACAGGTGTAACCCACTGCACCCAGCCTATTAGGCTTTGCTTAAAAGATACTTTTTTATATATATTTAATTTTTTGAGATGGAGTCTCACTTTGTTACCTGGGCTGTAGTGCAATGGTGCGATCTCGGCTCAATGCAACCTCGGCCTCCCAGATTCAAGCGATTCTCCTGTCTCAGCCTCCTGAGTAGCTGGGACTACAGGTGTGCACCACTACGCCCAGCTAATTTTTGTATTTTTAGTATAGACAGGGTTTCACCATGTTGTCTAAGGTGGTCTCGAACCCCTGACCTCAAATGATCCACCTGCTTCAGCTTTCCAAAGTGCTGGGATTACAGGCGTGAGCCACAGTGCCCAGCCAAAAAATGAATTTCTATCATTTCAGGGTATATGCCTGTTCTGATTGCCCATGACTAGAGGCTCATGGAAGGTAGGACCCACTTCTTTGATATGTTATCTGACTCTTCCTTCTCTCTGAATGTAAACATCTGGTACAGTGCTCTGCATACAATAATGATAAATGTTGTGCATCACCTCATGTGTAGATCAATGCTAGTGTTGTTTAAAGCTAAGATTACTGAGGTTTTTTGCTAGATGCTAATTTATGCTAATATAAGGAAAATCAAACAAGTTTTATTTGTTATGGTTAAGGAATTTTGCCCTTTAGCAAGCCATTACAATATGAACCTCATTGCCATCTGGGTATTTGTGGCAACCAAGTGGGAATTCAGAACCTCCTTCTAACCCAAACACTGAAGTGAGGGAAGTCATCAGCATGAATTAATTATCAGCCTGCCAGGAAAGGACTGGAGGGCAAAATTATTATTCTTAAAGTGAGGCAAAATGCAAAACAGATTGGATTTTAAAATTTGGTACTTTCACTGTTAAAACAGTAAAGAAGGGCTAATGGTATAAAATGGAAACTGAAAAAATGTAATATGCTATGAATGCCACTGATACGGAAACAGAAAGCTTAAGCTCTAGTATTAAACTGAAATGAAGACTATCTACTCAACTGAATCAACGAACATGGTTTGGTTTAGAGAACATCATTTTCCATTGTGTGCCCACGGCTGACATCATTAATTAATCACAGCAGCTTTTTCATGGCTTTTCTATGGTTCTTTCCCCTGAATCATACAGAGGTTGTTCTCAGGTAGCCACTGGCCATTGAATTTGTCATATGCAATAGTTTGGATTATCACTTAGCAAACATTCATGCCTCTCTCCCTTCCTGTACAAGGAGTGTATATTTCCCTAGCTCACTGATACTGGACTTGGTGTTATGATTTGCTGTGGCCAATGGGATACGATGTGAAGAGAAGCCTTAAATGCATTTGTCTCTTTAGCTTGGGCCTCACAAAAAATGTACATAAGAGTTCTGAACCCAACCCGCAGCGTGAATCAGAATAGATGAGCCGAGTGTAAGGATCAGTTCCTGTTGCTGTAAGCCACCGAGTTTTAGGGTCCATCTTAGATGAAACCGATGAGTCATCCCTGCCCTAAAAACTAGGAGAGCACAAGGAAAGGACTAGGATAAAGTAGACACATCATTCAGAAGTAATAAGGAGGCAGTATGAAGAAGAAATAGCCATATTGGAAAACTGAATCATTGCCTTAGATTTTGACCAATCTCTCAGTCCACAGATATAGGGACTGAGCCATTAGCCTCAGATTCAAGAGTAGATTAGTCTCTAATGAGGCTGAGAGAAACAAAATGGTTTGGCAGAGCCAGGATATCAACAGAAGTCTCTTGATTATTAATACTGTACAATAATATGCGCTTTTTTTTTGGAGGGTGGGGGATGGTGGGATGGAGTTTTGCTCTTGTTGCCCAGACTGGAGTGCAATGGCGAGATCTTGGCTCACTGCAACCTCCACCTTCTGGGTTCAAGCGATTCTCCTGCCTCAGCCTCCTGAGTAGCTGAGATTACAGGCATGCGCCACCATGCCCAGCTAATTTTGTATTTTAAGTAGAGATGGGGTTTCTCCATGTTGGTCAGGCTGGTCTCGAACTCCCAACCTCAGGTGGTCCACCCGCCTTGGCCTTCCAAAGTGCTGGGATTACAGGCGTGAACCACCTCGCCTGGCCAATAATGTGTGCTTCTTAGAGGGATGTTTTCCTAACATTCTGAACCAGGGAGAACTGAGTAGCCAAACAGTGTCAAGCAAGGAAGTGGTGACCAGCTCCTCCTGGCTGCGGGACTGCCAAACTGCCCTGTATAGGGTCAATGGCTTTGTCCAGAGAGAACCCATCGATGGGAACCTTAAAGAAGAGCAGGCACCCAGTCTGACACTCAGACCATGGCTCAGAAAGCCAATAAAGCAAAATTCTATCAGGCATGAAGGGAGTAAAAATGAGAAAATAAAGCCTCAGCCTAAAAAAAAAAAGAAATCTAAAATAGTTTAGAAAATAATCTGGGACACCTATGCTTCTGAAAGGAGCCAAAGAAGGGGACGTTAGAAATTTAACACTTTAATTAAGGCTGACCCAACAATTCCGCAGACTAAGCTGCTGTCTACAGATGTGATTCCAGAAATATTAGGAACACCACTCCCAGCCCTGTCAGGTTAAAACTCTTCTCCTTTGGCTCAGTGCTGACCTAGCACCAAGCAAAATTAGAGATGGATGTTAGTGAAATGTCAGTCTGGAAGTAAGACTAGTATCTTCCTTCTTAGCACCTATCCAAGTGCTTAGAACACAAGAAGCACTCAATAAATATTTTTTGAGTGAAATAATGGAAAAATACATAAATGAATGTTAAATGCCAGTCACCAGTTATCTGATATAGAGGTTTATATTACAGTTTACTATCAAGGGAGTAACTAAGCAAAATCATAAACAGTATTGCAATCAAGTTTAAATTTTGCTAACCTCTTATTAATTTATTTAACAAATGTTAATATTGAATGTCTGCTATGTCCAAGCACTGTGCAGTTTGCTGTAGATGAAAATCAAATTGATGAATACCCTGCCCTCGTGTAGCTGATGATGATTTAATGGGAGAAAGAGCTTAAACACAATCAAACATACATACAAATATTAAATAACTAAGGAAAAGAAGAGGGAGGCATATAAGAGTGGGAGAATGAGTGTAGGTTTTGGATTAAAGGATCAGAGAGGCAAACATTCCCAAAAGCACTTGATACGTGTGAACTGGAAAAGCAACATATGTAAAATATCATTTTGTATAAGAACTTGCATCTGCAATGCACCAGCTGACTGGGTAACACGTACACAGGTGCAGTGAGCTAAGGGCCCTCTATTTTGGCCCTAGGACCCCTAAGATCCCCTGGAAGTACCCCTAAACATTATCCCATCTAAGCTAAAAGCCAACAAATTACAATGAAATCTTTGAAACTTGATTCTACATTACATATATCCATTTTTTTTTCCTGCATAATATGTAGACATCCAAACATACCAAGCAAGTAATCTGTATACGAAGACAAAAGATCCAGAGCAGCAAATTCTGGGATATTTGATAATGCCATTTGATTAACTCTATGGGTTCTAATATTCTTCTTTCCCATAAGTAGGTTAATTGCCAGCACAGCTTCACTGACCTACAATTAATGCATAAATTAGGATTATAAATGTAAGCTCTCTAATTCATAGATTATCTATTAGGTAAATAATGAAAAAAAGTGAATTCATAAAATAATATTCCATACATTGGAAGAAAAAATAAAGACAACCTGAAAAATAATATGTGATCCCTGACATTAGAATATATCATAGTCAAACAAATAATTTCGGGTTGACAATTTAATTAATGCATAAGTCACTTAAAATAAGCTACCCCACTTAGCTATGACAGATAGTTGCCAAAATGTCAAATACATATATATGTATATCTGCCAATACTTTCATTTAGAAAAGGTGAAACAAATAGAACCAAGTCTGGCTAATAGAGATTGAAAACACTAAATATAACCAGTATTTCTAATCTTTCCAAAGAAACATAATAATTGACACAACTCCCAAATAATGTAATTTTTTTTTCTGTTATTTTCTTTTGAGACAAGATCTCACTCTGTTGCCCAGCCTGGAGTGCAGTGGTGGGATCTCGGCCCACTGCAGCCTTGACCTCCCAGAGTCAAGCAATCCTTCTGCCTCAGCTTCCTGCATAGCTGAGACTACAGGCATGCCACCATGCCCAGCTAATTAAAATAAAATTATTTTTTTAGATAGAGTCTTGCTCTGTTGTAGGCTGGAGTGCAATGGTGCTATCTCAACTCACTGTAACCTCCACCTCCCAGGTTCAAGAGATTCTCCTGCCTCAGCCTCCCAAGTAGCTGGGACTATAGGCACGTGCCACCATGCCCAGCTGATTTTTGTATTTTTAGTAGAAATGGGGTTTTGCCATGTTGTCCAGGCTGGTCTCCATCTCTTGACTTTGTGATCCACCTACCTCGGCCTCCCAAAGTGCTGGGATAACAGGTGTGAGTTACCACACCCCAACTCCTTTCTCTTTTACAGGTATATTCTGTTCTTTAAAAGCAGAGAATACAGATATGATGGTAAAAAGAAAGATTAAACAAAAATCACACCAACCTGTGCAGCAGCTCTTATTGCAATCCAGGCTAATGAACTGTACATTTCAAATTTACTTGCTGCTGTTTCTTTAACAGAACTACTTCTTCTGAGAGGAGGCTAAAAATACAGCAAATGTGTTAGGATATAAAGTTCTGTGACAACTCTTCTCATCTTCTAAAGATGACATTTTAGTGAAAAACTATGTAGTCACTAAGGATAATAATGTATCTATTGACATGAAAAGATATTCAAAATATACTGAGGAAAGAAGAGTAGATTACAAAATTGTATGAAAAGTACAATCCTTCTTTTTAAAAAATATGCACACACATACATTTCCTGTACATAAAAGCAGAGAAAATTAACAGTGGTTGTCCCAAGTTTTAAGGTAGTTAAATTATTCTTATCATTTTTTCCTAATTTTCTATAATGAGCTTGCATTATCTGTATGATAAGTTAATAAAAATTATTCTTTTTTTGAGACATAGTTTTACTCTGTCCCACAGGCTGGAGTGAAATGACACAATCTCAGCTTACTGCAACCTCTGCCTCCCAGGTTCAAACAATTCTCCTGCCTCAGACTCCCAAATAGCTGGGACTATAGGCGTGTACCACTACCACACCCAGCTAGTTTTTGTATTTTCTGTGGAAACAAGGTGTCACCATGTTGCCCAGGCTGGTCTTGAACTCCTGAGCTCAGTTGATCAGCCCACCTCAACCTTCCAGAGTGCTGGGATCACAGGCATGAGCCACCATGCCCATCCAAAAATGGCATCTTAAGTAAAATTAAGTGCCATTATAATAGAAGATCTATAAATTGAATATATTGTGTAACAGTATCAGAAATTATAACGTCGCTTAAAAGATTTCTGGCAGTATTTGCTATCATATTTCCTGCTAAGAAAATATTAAAGAGAGAGTATTATCATAAAATTCCATAGAATAACAAAACAAACAAACAATGATTGAGAACATTTTTTTACCATGGGGGGCTTCTTTAATTAAAAAAAGAATATATATATTTTAAATATATATTCATTTTTTAAACATAAGAAAGTCACTGCTACAGAAGTGAACAGAACGCAACTCCACCAGTAGCTAGTATGTTCTACATTTTTAAAGGTAACTAAAATAGGTATTAGCAGTAATTTCTTAAGATTTAAATCATCTGGATAGAGCTAATGATTCAATTAGCCTCATGGATGCTAATTCTTTGATGTCTATATTTTGGCCAATTCTTTAATTTTCAGCAAATCTGAAGAATAAAACAAACAATAATAAAAGTATCTTTATTTTATTTCTGGCTAGAAGAATCCTGGGGAAAAAGAAAGCCCATGTACAATGCTGATGCCAAAGAACAAGTACAAGGCGTAAATGTGGCCTAGATCTAGCGTTAAGCCGGGGAGAAGATGACACCTGGAAAAGTTTGCCTGTGGGGAAATCTAAGCAATACAGCCCTGTTGTAAGATTAAAAGTAAACCAACCAACCAACCAAACCCTAATCATTAGCTGTAATGGGACTAATCTGGGGCAACAATTGCTAGCTTACTGACTATGTAAGCATGGGTAATTTATCTACTTACATTCTGGAAACAAGACCAGTAGGCATGTAACAAAGAACAGAGAATAACATTAAATAACTAGAATGTAAGACCAACTAGTGACCCAGCCATTCAAAATAAAAATAAGTCATCTTGAATAGAAAGGAAACCTCTGTTGAGGAAGCTGGGCCTGAACCCACCATGGAAAAATTTGGAGAGGGGAAAGAATATGGTGGGCATTTTCCAGATGAAGGAGATGTTTTGACACTGCACAGGAGATTCTAGGTTAGAAAACCCAGCGGGGTGGGCAGGAATACATGTAGATTGGAAATGGAGAAGTAAAGTGTCTTTATTTGAAGGAGACATGATCCTACATGTAGAGATAATCATAAGGAATACATAGACACACAAACACAATTAACATTAATAAATATGTTTAGCAAGGTCACAGCATACAAAACTCAATACACACAGATCAACTGTATTTCTATATACTAGCAATAAACAATCTAAAAATTAAAATAAAAATCTCTTTGACAACAGAAATAACAAAAATGTATAAGACTCATACACTTAAAAAGACAAAACTTCGTTGAGAGAAATTAAGATCAGAATAAATGAAGAGACAGTTCATATTCGTTAGAGGACTTAATATTGATAAGATGGCAACAAAAATCTCCTTAGTTATTTTTGCAGAAATTGACAAGCAGATCCTAAAATAGTAAAATGCAAAGGAGTCAAAGTAAAATGAAAAGGAAGAATATAGTAGGAACATGCACTTTACAACTTCAAAACTTACTAAAAGCTACAGGAACCAAGACAGTGGATGCTCAAGTAATGGCAGACTTCTAAGTCAATGAAACAGGATTGAAAATCCAGGAATAAACATTTGCATTTACAATTAATTTTCAACAAAAGTGCCAAAGCAATCCAACGAGAAAGGGATAGTCTTTTCAACAAATGGTGCTGAGACAACTGTATATTCCTGTACAAAAAGATGAATTTAGGCTCTTACCTCACACCCTACACAGGTATTAACTCAAAATGGATCATAGACTTAAATGTAAAAGTTAAAACTATACAACTTATAGAAGAAAATCTTCAACAACTGTGGTTAGACAAAAAGTTCTAGATATGTCACAAAAAATGCAACCTATAAAAGAAAAAAATGACAATTTGGCCTTCATTAAAATTTAAAACTTTTGTGCCTCCAAAGATGCTACTAACAATATGAAAAGACAAGCTACTAAGCAGGAGAAAGTATTTGCAAATCATTTATCTGACAAGGGACCTGTATCTAGAATACATACAGTTTTTTAAATGAAAACTCTCTCCCTTTTTTTTTTTTTTTTTTTTTTTTTTTGAGATGGAGTCTTGCTCTGTCACCAGGCTGGAATGCAGTGGCAAGCTCAATGATAAAAAAAAGACAAATGACTCAATAAAAATGCACAAAGGATCTGAATAGACAGTTTTCCGAAGAAGATATACAAATGGCCAATAAGCACATGAAAAGATCTGAGCATCATTAGCCACCAGAGAAATGCAAATTAAAATCACAATGAGATACTACTTCATACCTGAGATACTACTTCATACCTACTAGCATAGGTACTATCTCAAAAAGACAGATAATAACAAGTGTTAGCAAGGATGTGGGGAAATTGCAACCTTCATATACTGCTGGAAGAATGCAAAATGGTACAGCCCCCATTGAAAATCTGACAGATCATCAAAAGGCTAAATATAGAGTTGCCATATAACTCAGGAATTCCACTTTTAGATATGTACTCAGAAGAACTGAAAACATATGTCCACACAAAAACTTGTATATGAATGTTCAAAATAGCATTAACTGAAACAGCCAAAAAGTGAAAACAATTCAAATGTCCATCAACTACTGAATAGACAAAGGGAAAAAATGTGGCATATCCACATAATGAAATACTATTCAGCAACAATAACAAAAAAACTACCATTACATGCTACAACATGAGTGAACCTGGAAAACATTATACTGGGTGAAAGAAGCAGGCGTAAACACTACAAAATCTATCTATTAGCTGGACATGGTGGTGCGTGCCTGTAGTCCTAGCTACTCAGGAGGCTGAGGCAGGAGACTCGCTTGAACCTAGGAGGCGGAGGTTGCCATGAGCCGAGATTGCAGCCATGAGCTGAGATTGCACCACTGCACTCCAGTCTGGGCATCAGACCGAGACTCTGTCTCAAAAAAATAAAATAAATAAAATCTATCATTCTATTTACATGAAATGTCTAGAAAAGGCAAATCTATAGAGACAGAAAACAGTTTGGTGGTTTCACGGAACTAGGGGTGGGAATAGGATTGACTGCAAATGGCCATAAGGGATCTTTCTTGGGATGATGGAAATGTTCTAAAACTGGATAGTGGTGATTGTTGCACAACTCTGTAAATTTATTAAACATCATGTGGATTCTATCCATGAAATTAAAATGGGTTAATTTCCACTTAACTACTTGGAAAACTCCATATATCCTTCAAAATTTACTTCATCTGTGAAGCCTTCTCCAGCATTTCCCCAAAACAGTATTAGTCCCTACTTTGCCCCACTTCTTCACCTTGGCAAATTGTGATTATAGTCCTTATCACATTGCAATGCAATTTCTCTTTCTTGCTAGACCCTCTGCTCCTTAGAAAAAAAGGTGGTTAATGTGCATTAAGCCCTCAGTAAGTGTTTGGTTCATGAGCAAATAAATGAATGTTCAAGAAATAGTCAATTCAACTTAGCCATCAATTATTGAGTAACTACTAAGAACAAAATACTTTAGAAAGAAGAATATAGATGTTTAGCTGATGTCACAAAATGAAAAATAACAGTTCCATTGATGTAAGTACTTATTACATACAAGCCCAGTATCTTGTTTAATTATTAGAGCCACTCTAAGAGGTAAGGACCATCATCTCTGTTTCACAGGCGAGGAAACTAGGCTTAAAAAGACCTCAGTCACATAGCTAGTAAGTCGTGAAGCTAGGATTCAAATCCAAACAGGTGCGATGGTCACTCTGCTATACAGACACTACATAAAAGTGAAATAATGCTGCTTTCTTTTAAGGGCTTATAATGTGTTGTCTTTATTAGGACATATTTCAAATGTTATATTTCCATGGTCTGAATACGTCTGCATGAATTTTTTTAATTGGTTTCGGCTGTTTTCTGTGCTTCTAATAATTCTATGACTTGCTAAAGTATTTATACTATGTCAAAACACACAGAAAATAATGATCATATTGTAAGCAATTACACTACTGTTTTCATTGAAATCCTAACTTCGTTATGTTCTCAATTATAAGCACTTCTCCAGTAAGGGCCAGAGAGGTGATACATTATCATCCTAGCATCCTATTAATTTGTATTGCCACCTGCTATAAAAATAAATGGTTTTGTTTTTTTTTTTTGTTACTGGAAATAAACATGTTTATCACACAACAAAAAGTAACTTTTTCAAGTTTGTAATTATTTTGATTAAAAAAAGAGGTGCCATTCACCTAAGGCAACTTCCATATGAATAATTCAATTGACTGAGAGTCTATTTGCCTAAAGGTTTTAAATCATGTTTATGCTGTCTCAAAAATTAAAGATTTGATGCCAACATTTTCTGAAAAGATGTCTTGGAGGGACAAATGATTATTCAATAAGGATGAAACAGAAAAGCCCACTAAAATTTTAAAAACAAAAAACAAAATTACCGTGTTCATTTACCTAAAACCCACTCAAATTATTCCTGCCTCTGGGATCTCCCTTAATCTAGACCCTTGATCCTCATGTGTGGCCCACAGACCAACAACATCAGCATCACCTGGGAGGCTCATTAGAAATGCCAAATCTCAGAGCCTGCCCCTGATTTACTGAATCAGAATCTGTCATTTCACAAGATTTTCAGAGATGTTTCTGCACCTTAGTTTGGAAACACTGCTCTAGCTAGAAGGTGCGACCCCTCCACAACTCTTTGCTGGCTCCCACCTCCTGCATCAAATCCTGCCTGAAACATCACCTCTTCTCATGTCATTCATTCAAAATCTCACCTATATGAGTTATTTCTTAGCTCCAAATTTCATTACCTAAGTCACCCCCTAATATGGTTTGGCTGTGTCCTCATGCAAATCTCATCTTGAATTTGTAGCTCCCAAAATTCCCACACGTTGTAGGAGGGACCCGGGGGGAGATAATTGAATCATTGGGGCAGTTTCCCCCTACTGTTCTCATGGTAGTGAATAAGTCTCACAAGATCTGATGGTTTTATAAGAGGAAACCCCTTTCACATGGTTCTCATTCTCTCTTTGTCTGCTGCCATGTAAGATGTGCCTTTGCCTTCTACCAAGATTGTGAGGCCTCCCCAGCCACATGGAACTGTGAGTCCATTAAACTTCTCAGGTATGTCTTCACTAGCAGTGTGAAAATGGACTACTACCTCCCCTTTCCCTCCTTCTCCCTCATTTTCTCCCACCTTTCCTCCTCTGGCCTCCTTCCTTTACTGATTTATTATCCGTTTTCCTCTACTGAAAGGCATGCTCCATGAGAACAGGGACGAAGTTCGTTTTAGACACCACTTTAACTCTAGAAGGGTGCCTGGATCAGAGTAGATGCTCAATAGATATGTGATGAATGAATGAATGAATGATTCTATCAAGACGTTATCTGTTTATAGGCCATATCAGTATTGAAAACTTTACTTGTCTATCTGTTTAACCAATATGTCATTGAATTTTCCTGATCAATACTAATGACTCATTCATTGCCTTGCATTTACACTTCATGTTATCCACGAAACATAAGTGTATATTTATATATTAAGTATATATTACATATACTTACATTTCATGGATAACATTTTCACAGGCAGAAATGTGTAAATGAAAATAATTTCCAAAGCCCTATATAAAATGTCCAAAGAGATATGTCTTTGTAACACATAGTTACAAGTGTAACTACAAAGCAATGAATTAATTACTCCAAGCCACACAGGAAAATCGGCCTCATTATTTCAATAGCACAGTGTTACCAAAATAGCAATCTCAAGGACAATTAACTCATAATTTCTAATAAAATAGACTCTTACCTTAAGTGTTAATGGTGATCCTGAAATATTCCTTTTTGGCTTCTTCAGATGAAAATACAATAGAGCCATTTCTAGGTAGGAGTCTCTTATCAATCTAAAATGATATAGCACTGTACTTATTAAATAGCTTCACCATGCATAATCATTGGCATCATTTGCCAACAATTTCTAAGCTGATAAAAGGCAAAAACTGGCAAAACCAGCATTTGTCACAAATACCCACCCTCTTTTCATAGCACTTTTGACCATAAATACTAGCATCTTCCTCCCACTAAAATTGGAAGTTCTTGAAGAGAACTTCCAATTTTAGCATTCTACCTTCTCCTGTGCTGGCAACACTCCATACTATGACTGTCATGAAACCTGGCATCAAGACCATTCTGGAATATTCTAGCACACAAGGCACTAAAGAAGTGAAGATCAAGGATGGAAGAACTTGCCTTGAAAATGTAGGCCCCTCTCTAGGCTCCTACACTAATTAAAATAGAAAGAAATACAAAGAATTATGCAATGCAGAAAGCAGTGATTTGGTATGGGTTAGGTCTATGTATTCACCATCAAATCTGTCAGCTGGGGACCAGTGCATTTGGATCACTTCCATTGTAATAAAGATGGCTTACTCTCAATATTGAGGTGATATTCATACAGAATTAAGTTAACCAGTCCTGGTCCTGATGACCAGAGTGAATAGCCACACAAACCCCTTCTAGACACAACTGCACATTTAGGGAAGGAACTTGCAGTTGAGAAGCAGTCATCCCAAGGAGGCCCCAGAAATCCTGGTACTAACACGAGATTTGGGTACAGGCCAGTATGCCACTATGAGGACAGCCATCATTTACCATTACTTTAAAGGAGGCCTTGGGTCAGAACTAAGAGCAACAAGCTTGAGATGGACCCCGTGAACTAGCCTTGCTTTGAGAAGGCCTCCCAGTCAATCCAGCCTTGAGTGGTCTGTGTACTACCAAAATATGGGGTTCAAGCCAAACACACATGGCCACAACAATGGAATATCTTTTTACCCTGAGTTTTGATCATTATTCAGGCTTAGTTGTATAGCTTCATATAAACTCTCAAGTTGAAAACTTGGAGATTTCTCTTCCATTAGTATTTGACGTTCTATTTTGCCTGAAAGAAGAAAAAGATACAAAGATGGTTTTTCCTTTTTCTAGCACTTAGAACTTAAGAACAAATATTTCAGGCTGGAAATTCAGAGCATTTGGTGTGCTGTCCTTATGTATATCTGTCTATTTCTTCCAGAAGGTAAGCCAATGAGGAGAGACCCATTGCCTCCTTCTCCAGTACTCTCAGGCTTCCCCTGCATTCAGGAAGCAACATGAGGCAAGCTTCCTTTGGCTTGCCCTACACAACTGGTCTTCGCATCTAACTTTTTTCCCCATTCTCTTACTTTGTGCTTCTCCCTCCTCCTGTATCTTACATTCCCTTTTTTGACATCCATTCTCCTCTTTCCCCTGTCTCCTTCACAGATATCATAGAAAACATCTGCCCTCCCATGGTCATTGCCCCCCCTTGGTCATATTCACAATAGCCAAGATACAGAATCAATCTAAGTACCCTTCAACAGGTGCATGGATAAAGAAAATATGATATATACACACAACAGAATACTATTCAGCCTTAAAACAGAAAGAAATCCTGTTATTTGCAAACATCATGGATGAACCTGAAGGACGTTATTCTCAGTGAAATAAGTCAGGCACAGAAAGACAAATATTGCATGATCTCACTTAACTGAAGAATCTTAAAAAGTTAGGGATGGTAGGGGAATAGGGAGATATTGGTCAAAGAGTACAAGGTTTCAGTTAAATGGGAGGAGTAAGTTCTGAAGACCTATTGTACAACATGGTGACTATAATTAATAATAATCATAGATTTTAAATGCTCTCCCCACAAAAATGGTAAGTACATGAAGTGAAGGATATGCTAATTAGCTTGATTTAATCAAGTCACAACGTGTACATGTATCAAAAACATCACATTATACCCCATAAATATATACAATTGTTATGTCAGTTAAAAATAGATTGAAAACATTTTTAATATTTAAAAAAAATTTCCCAAACTCATTTTATGAGACCAACATCATCCTGATACCAAAACCTGGCAGAGACACAACTAAAAAAGAGAATTTCAGGCCAATATCCTTGATGAACACTGCTGCAAAAATCTTCAATAAAATACTGGCAAACCAAATCCAACAGCACATCAAAAAGCTTATCCATCATGATCAAGTCGGCCTCATCCCACGTATGCAAGGCTGGTTCAACATCTGCAAATCTATAAACGTAATCCATCACATAAACAGAACCAAAGACAAAAACCACATGATTATCTCAATAGATGCAGAGACGGCCTTCGACAAAATTTTCCCTTTATGCTAAAAACTCTCAATAAACTAGGTATCAGTGGATCATATCTCAAAATAGTAAAAGCTATTTATGACAAACCCACAGCCAATATCATACTACATGGGCAAAAACTAGAAGCACTCCCTTTGAAAACTGGCACAAGACAAGGATGCCCTCTCTCACCACTCCTATTCAACATAGTATTGGAAATTCTGGCCAGGGCCATCAGGCAAGAGAAAGAAGTAAAGGGTATTTAAACAGGAGGAGAGGACATCAAATTGTCCCTGTTTGCAGATGACATGATTGTATATTTAGAAAACCCCATCGTCTCAGCCCAAAATCTTAAGCTGATAAGCAACTTCAGCGAAGTCTCAGGATACAAAATCAATCTGCAAAAATTGCAAGCATTCCCCTACACCAGTAATAGACAGCCAAATCATATGTGAACTCCCATTCACAATTGCTACAAAGAGAATAAAATACCTAGGAATACAACTAACAAAGGATGTGAAGGACCTCTTCGAGGAGAACTACAAACTACTGCTCAAGGAAATAAGAGAGGACACAAACAGATGGAAAAACATCCCATGCTCATGGCTAAGAAGAATCAATATTGTGAAAATGGCCATACTGCCCAAAGTAATTTATGCATTCAATGGTATCCCCCCCATCAAGCTACCAATGACTTTCTTCACAGAATTGGAAAAAAACACCTTAAACTTCATATGGAACCAAAACAGAGCCTGCATAGCCAAGACTATCCTAAGCACAAAAAAATATCAAAGCTGGAGGCATCATGCAACCTGACTTCAAACTATATTACAAGGCTACAGTAATCAAAACAGCATGGTATTTGTACCAAAACAGACATATAGACCAATGGAACAGAACAGAGGCCTCAGAAAGAATGCCACACAACTACAACCATCTGATCTTTCACAAACCTGACAAAAACAACCAATGGGGAAAGGATTCCCTATTTAATAAATGTGAATCCTGGGAAAACTGGCAAGCCAGATGCAGAAAGCTGAAACTGAATCCCTTCCTTATACCTTATACAAAAATTAACTCTAGATTGATTAAAGATTTAAACATGAGGCCTAACACCGTAAAAACCCTAGAAGAAAACCTAGGCAATACCATTTAGGATATAGGCATGGGCAAGGACTTCATGACTAAAACACCAAAAGCCATAATGGCAACAAAAGCCACCATAGACCAGTGGGATCTAATTAAACTTAAGAGCTTCTTCACAGCAAAAGAAACTATCAATAGACTGAACTGGGAACCAACAGAGTGGAAAAAAATTTTTGCAATCTACCCATTTGGCAAAGGGCTACTATCAAGAATCTATGGAGAACTTAAGTTTATGAGAAAAAAACAACCCCATCAAAAAGTGGACAAAGGATATGAACAGACACTTCAAAAGAAGACATTTTTACAGCCAACAAACATGAAAAAAAGCTCATCATCACTGGTCATCAGAGAAATGCAAATCAAAACCACATTGAGATACCACCTCACACCAGTTACAATGGCAATCATTAAAAAATCAGAAGACAACTGATGCTGGAGAGTATGTGGAAAAATAGGAACACTTTTACACTGTTGGTGGAAGTGTAAATTAATTCAACCATTGTGGAAGCCAGTGTGGCAATTCCTCAAAGATTTAGAACTAGAAATACCATTTGACCCAGCAATCCCATTACTGGGTATACACCCAAAGGATTATAAATCATTCTATTATAAAGACACATGCAGACATACGTTTATTGTGGCACTGTTCACAATAGCAAAGACTTGCAACCAATCCAAATGCCCATCAATGATAGACTGGATAAGGAAAATGTGGCACATATACACCATGGAATACTATGCAGCCATAAAAAAAAGGATGAGTTCATGACCTTTGCAGGTACATGGATGAAACTGGAAACCATCATTCTCAGCAAACTGACACAAGAACAGAAAGCCAACCACCACATGTTCTCACTCATAAGTGGGTGTTGAACAATGAGAACACACAGACATAGGGAGAGGAAAATCATACACCAGGGCCTGGGGGTTGGGGGGATAGGGGAGAAATAGCAGGCAGTGGGGTATTGGGGAGGGATAGCATTAGGAGCAGTACCTAATGTAGATGACAGGGCAACAGATGCAGCAAACCACCACCATGGCACATGTATACCTATGTAGCAAACCTGCACAATCTGCACATGTACCACAGAACTTAAAGTATAATAATTTTTAAAAACCATTTAACTTAAAAATAAATAAATATAATCACAAATCTAAAAGGAAAAAATAAATTCTAAAAAGTCAGCAAATGGTTGAAAATTCTCAACGATAATGCAAATGTGCTGGCCGTCACAGCTCCCAGCCCTCACGGTGAGCTGCGGCCTTCAGATGTAGGCACTAGCAGGCCAGGCGCGGTGGCTCACACCTGTAATCCCAGCACTTTGGGAGGCCCACATGGGTGGATGCTGGAGGTCAGAAGTTCAAGACCAGCCTGGCCAACAGAGTAAAACCCCGTCTCTACTAAAAATACAAAAATTAGCCACGCCCATGTGGTGGTGCACACCTGTGGTCCCGGTTACTCAGGAGGCTGAGGCAGAATTGCTTGAACCTGGGAGACAGCAGTTTCAGTGAGCTAAGATCATGCCACTGCACTTCAGCCTGGGCAACAGAATGGGTCTCCATCTCAAAAAAAGAAAAAAGAATGTACACACTGTACACTGGCAGAGCACAGGGGTAGCAAAAAGGAAAGGAAGGAAAACTTCTATAATCACTGTAGAAAGGATTTATTGCTTTCATGCAGCCTGTGGAGAGGGCACAGAGCTGGCCAGTGTTGAGCTCACATCTGGGCACTATCATTTAGTAACTGTTGACTTTTGGAAAATCATTTTAACCAGACCTCACCTAATTTTCCTCATCGTCAAGAGGGATTTGTCATGCCTACCTTGCAGAGCTATTGTAAGAATTAGCACTGTGAGATGTAACATGTTGAATACGGGGCCTAGGTATCTAGTAGATACTCAGCAAATGATAGAAATTATCCCTATCTTTGTTTTTCTCAAAGGCAAAATGGCCACAATAAAATTATATAAATGTATTAACAGGTGTTATATATAAGTTGTAAGTATAGGTGTGCTATAGCTATTTAATTTCAATGAGTATGTACAGTATCTCTTACTTATACAAATCAAACAAAATGTTTAGCTAAGTAATGAAATTATGCAGAAAAAATATCTTTTTAAGAAATATTATTTTTAGCTAAGAGGCTATGTTGCCATTTTTCAAACATGA